TTCATCCATTGATTAAATATTTTTAAAGTTATTTATATAATAATTCAAACTTTTTTAAAATAAATTAAACGGTATATCATATCAATTCTATAGTACAGTACGGGTTATGAATAGTGTATAAAATATTCTAATCATTCATATAATGAAATGTTTATGGATAAAGAGTTAACGGTTTGTATAGACATTGGGTGTAAATCGTAATTTTAAAAACATTTAATTAACATATTATTTCACTTAATTTTTGGTACCAAAAGTGTCAGACACTGATAACATGGAAGGACAGGCAGCTAATAGCGTGAGCCCTACTATCGAGTCGTGTCCGGGCAGTAGGCGTTCATTCTTCTGTCGCATGAAATACAAGTTTCACATCAATCGTAACGATGGGAAAGGCATTCAAGGGTTGGCTAATAAAAAGAGGCAACGGATTAACATAACGAACGACAAATACTGCGATCTTTATTGCATGGGTTATCTCAAGTCGTGGACCACTCAGGAAGGTCAGCCACCATCACCTACCTGTGCGGCCACATCCCAGTCCACTAGTGATGAAAGTGGTGCTAAAGTGTGTCAATCGAGTGGCTGTAGTCAGGGATGTCTGGTGGCGATGGCGAGGGTTATGCCGCAGACCGATAGACAACATCACGTGTCCGATAAGATATTTCCCGTCAAACCCATTGAGTACACCTCAAGACATAGCATGGATGGCATGTATTTGTTTGTGGACCAGAGGTTTGTTTAGATTCTGAATGTGATTGTCATGGATAGCAATGATAGGAATGTCAAGAATATTCTGTTCAGTAATTAATAATTATATTATGTATAACAGAGTGACACCACTATTGGGTTATTTACCACAAGAACTATTGGGCACTTCGTGTTACGATTATTGTCATCCGGACGATGTGCTAACACTGGCTGAGAGTCATCGCACCGGTATGTCTATATGAAAACATGCAAATCCTTAAGTCACTGAATGATTGCACCGCTATTTACATAGCACTACATCAGCAAAACGTGGGCAAGAATTCGCTGCCCTATCGGTTCCGAACCAAATTAGGGACGTATCTCTATTTAACCACTTTGTGGAAGACATTCAAGAATCCATGGACTCGTGAGTTCGAGTACATGATCGCCATCAGCGAGAACGTGGCCACACCTGACGACA